CTAAAAAGAAAAAGGAAAAAAACTACCGATTTGCAATAGAAACTAGCGAGGACAAAAGAAATGGTCATGTTTAATTTTTAGTTTGTGCAAGGAATGTTTGCGAGCACATAAATTCCACCCCTATTACGGACCAAATTTTTGACTAAATTTAAAATCCCTCACTATTTGCGGAGGAATTTTGTGAGAGTGAAACAATCCCTCGCTATCTTGGGAGCTATTTTTAATCCATTGCAAATTTCTAGATAAATCCCTCTTGGATGGTCGACCGGCCAGCGACTGATTCACCGGATAGACAGTTGGATTTTTGTAGATAATTAGGAGTGTTGATGTACCACCCTGACCTGCAAGCTATGCAGAATCGGACGTGTCGGGGTTTGACTGGTCCTACAGGTCAACACGAGTTCTTCTAAAACATTTTATCTTCACTTACGCGCACTTTTGGAGACTTTTCAGGATCATCTATTCTCCAATTATTCTAGGGAGAGCACATCCTCCTCGCGTGTCGGGATTAGATTGGCTCCACAGGTCAACAATGGTCCTTCCAGTGCGCTTTTTTCATCACTCACGCGTACTTTTAAAGACTTTTCATGGGATCACATATCCTAAAATTTCTAGAGTTCTTTCAAGCAAGGTCCCGAAAAACACTACAAAAAAATATTTAATTAGCTATAATATTTTTGTAGTTAAAATATATCATTAAGCAACAAAAAAATATCGCCGCTAAAAGAATTTTGTACTACAAAATTAATTTTATCACGTGATTCATTTTTGTTCAACATGCGTAAAAATAAATAAAATGCATAACTATTTTTTGTCACACAAGTACATCATCAGCAACGGCTTTGTATATGAAACCTAATTATATCCTAAAATTTAGAAATATGATTTGCTTGAATTGTTTAGAGTGTGAACCTAGGGTTTTATACTCTATAGATATGCAAATATTTTTCACTTTTAAGGTGTAAGTATCATGAGTTGTTTAACCATAGTCGACTATGGTATGCGACAATCATTTGTAGCAATGTAGATTTCTTCATTTGGACCTAATGCAATTTCATATTTGTACAATACAATACAATTACGAGCTGCATAACACATATTTCTATATAACACATTATATATTGTGTTATATAGAAGCATAGGTTGTCTACATTTATTTTATGTGTCGACAGATCAAATTAATACCAAACTAATTTGACTCGATCGAATCAACATAGTTAGTGATCCATTATTTCAAATTTATAATATTTTTGTTGTGATGGTATGTTGTAATAAAATATATCCAAATAGAGACATTGGTTTAATTTCTACGTTATCATCGATATCTACCAATCAAATAAAGAATGAACGGCTGTAATGATTGACTATTTATTATGAGAGGCAGGTTTACCTAATTCTACTCGAGAAATGCGTGCTTATTTAATAATTATTTTTATTTATTTTAATTAGTCAATTCTTGTGAGTCGAACCAAAAAAAGCAAACATGAAAACAAACACAGAAGTATAAGGTTCAGCCCCTGGCACACCCGATTGAGTAAAAGCAGTCATGAGGAAGGTGCCTCGACTCCGGCAAAGTCAAAAAAGACCACAAGAAGCCCTAAATTGAACTAAGGAATAAATCCTACCAATCCGACATGAAATCACACAGATCATCTAGAAATCTCTCAACAATCACTATATCGCACTCACCTATACAATAAATGGCGAACACTTGCCGGGAAACCTTAATCGAACACACACATTATCGAGAGAAAAAAAGAGCAGCATGAGAGAAGAATAAAATCGCAAACAGCTTTTGGAATCTTGAATCAATCTATCTCAGACGGTTCATAACACACTCCTAGATTAGACGAGTAAGATTTGTTCTATGTTTAATATGGGCTTCTCGGATCGGGTTTACAACCGGGCCAATAACACCATATTGGGCTGGAATACAAGGGTCTCTCATATACAAATCATTGATCAAACCTAACACCTATAATTTGATTAAATTTATTAATTATATTTAAAATTGATAAATATGATTATAAGTACATAATACGATATATATCATAATTGAATTATTTAATTATTTTAATTTTAATTTATAATTAATTACATTATATAATAATTATTTTTATTTATATTTTTTAATTATTCACTAATTATTTTTTTTTTTTTAATTTTTGTGTCTAAGCAATATGAATATTTTTACTGGAATGTAGGGAATAGTATAGAGATATTATATAATAATACTTTATTTTATCTTGCACGCTTCTCTATAAATTGAATAGATAATATGTAGTGTCGAAATAAATTATACTATTCTCGTTTTTGCTCTGAGGTTTTTTATTTACTTTTTTTTATGGGTTGATTTTTAAATATTAATTATTATATCAAAATGTAATACAAATTAAAAAAATTGCAAAAATACTTCTATTAATGTCTTATATACTAATATAATTACATTTGTATAAACAATTATACAAGTATAAGGATATTTTTAATGTTAAATATAATGACGCAGAAGATAAATGTGACCTTAGAGTCAGACGGATGGAATATTTTTTATGATGTATTTTATATGATTTTTTTTACATGAATATAATTTTTATAAAATAGATTCTTATATTTTATAATTATTTTATTTTAAAATTAACTATCAAAATAATAAAAATAAATATTTTAAAACAATTAATTTTTCTATATTTTTGTATTGAAAATTGGATATAGTATATACTTACAAACAATTTCTCATGGCTATTACCAAAAATATACTATAATATATATACATACGTTTAACACAATATATATTATTTTTTATATTACTATAACATAATTCTTCATAATTAATATTAAAAATAAATATATCCATCTAAAAACATAAAGTGAACACATATTTATTAAATTTGAATTTATTTAATTTTGGTTTGAATTAGAAAATTTTATTTTATATAGTATTTTTTTTTGTGATATTTTGTGAAATAAAATATTAATATATTTTTTATTGAAAATCATATAAAGAGATTGTTTCTTATTTTAATACAAACAAATTATGTGAAAATTGCACATTCGTCACAAACAAACAGACTAAGAGTTAAAAAACAATCATGGAACCCTCACAAACAAATAAAAAAAAAAAAAAAAAAAATTTGAACTAATTCAATATTATTACGATATTGTCTGCTTTAAACTGAATTCACACAAATTTATTTTTTAATTTATATATGAAACTTATAACGTGTGAGTTATCTTTTTTAACTTTTTTAATATGAAACTTGAGTTTGTATTACAGCATGCTATATCATATCATATGCGATGCCGAGTTATTATAATTTTATAGTAATATTTATCCACTTACATTTTTCATTATTAATAAATTTTGTAATATTTAAATAATTGAGTTAAGATTAACGTCTATTTGATCGTAAGTTGATATTATTTGGTATTATGCTTCTAAATTTTTTACAATGTGTTAGTTGTAATTTCAAATTAATTTTTACATTGTTCCGTCTTCATGATTTTTAATAAAATATATTGTTTTTTTCAATAAAACATCATATTAAAATACTATTTAAACCTAAATTCAAATTAAAATTCTAATTTCAAATCAAAACCAAACAAACCCTATTAAATTATTTTTAGATAGAATCCATTTATAATTCTATATTTTTCTCTTTTGTATAAACAAGTACATTAATGTTTTCTATTATTAATTTTTTTATGATTTTCAATAACAATACTCTTACATTATTTATTCTTATAATATATAATACTCCCTCCGTCCCACCTACCATGTCCATATTGTCGTTCTGTCCGTTCCATATTTCATGTCACTTTTTTTTTTGAAAAATGATTATACACTGTCTATATTGACCCAGACATCCAACGTGGGATAGAGATAGTATTAAAATATTATTTAAAAAAAGAAAAAATTCAAACTCAAATAAAAACCAAATTATTTCTATAAAATTAATTCGTGAAAATATTATATGGAATGATGCTGTGTATTTTTGTTGATTTTTTATTGTTATATGTATGTCGATTTTATTCTAATAATGACACTCGTTGAAGTGGCGGAGTCACATAGGATGCTAAAGGGGTCTCGAATCCCACTCGAGTTGTCGTCTCTATCATTATATTGATTGAATTTTTTTTTAAAAAAAAGTAATAACGTGAGAACCTGCAGCGGTTACTTCAAAATTAATAATTATATGAACCGTCTATTTGGCTGATTAGTTTGATCAATTCTCACCAAATTAATATTTTATATTAATTGAATACATTAAAATATACTCCCTCCGTCCATTTTCTAACGTCCTATTTGATATTTACACGTATTTTTAGGTAATTAGGGTTTTTGTTATAAAATGACAAATTTGCCCTTAATCTTGTGTATAGAAAAGAAAAGAGTGAATAAAGTATGGGTAAAAGAGTAAATTTTGTGTATAAAAAAGTAGAAAGAAGACAATAATTATTGGACATTCCTAATAAAAAAAGTAGGACGTTAGTTTGTGAACGGATGATATATATTTTTGTCATCGAATATCTAATTTTTTTACCTCAGACAAAACCTTTCAACCCTCGGCGGAGTAATAGAGACTCCACCACTGACTCATTGTTGTTTACTTGTAGTATCAAATATATGTTTTAAAATATATTTTATGATTAAAATATTAACCAACTATCAATCTCATGTCACCACTATAATCGACGAAAAGGACCCACGATTTAGAGAGTCTATTATTGCAGCAAGAGAAGTGTAGAAAAAGAAAAAGAAAAAAAAAAGTAAAGTTGCCTTGTGTTTCATGAAAATGAAAAAAAAATTGCAAAAATTATCTTTCACTTCACCTATATGAAATTACCATTTTTACCCTTTTATGTATTTCGCTAGCAAAATGATCATTTATGTCCTGTTTAAACAACAGTTGTTTCACGTGCGATCGAATGACAGAAATAGCGATTTTTCAAATGTATTGAATATATTTTGCTAATAAGATAAATAAAGAATAAAATAATAATTGAGTAAATGTAGAAGATATTTTTTATCATTTTTACCATGATACATTTATTAAAACACAAACCTTCAATTTATTTCCAACCCAAATTACCAAACCACACTCTCAATTATTGAATGGAAAAAGAGAGAAACCTCAGGAAACAAACACAAAGAAAGCAAACACAGCAATAGGAAGAAGCAACTTGAGTCTGAGTGTCCATTAACAAGACACTCGGACAACCATGACCACCACCACGACCACGGCCTAATCTAATTTTTCGCCATGGAGGAAGGCGACGACTTTCTTCATAATCTCCTTCGACTCCGGCAACGTGTGGTTGCTCACGTTGAACACGTGGTTGACGCCGGGCACGTCCGACAAGTACACTTGCCCCGGCCACCGGACCTTTTTCAAAGAATCGACAAACTCCAACCCCCTCTCCCGGAGAATGTCGTTCCCGGCGACATAGATATATATCCTCTTGCACCCGAGTTTGTGCAAATTCGGATTCTTCGTCGGATTCGACGCCGGATGGTCCCAACCGCCGGGACAATCCGGCCACGCCACTAGCCATATTAGCCCCATGTAGTCAGCGTACGCCTTATTGGCCGCCTCGAACGGCAATGGCTCGTTCCCCCAAAAATGCGGGCAATTCAAAATCACGCCGTCGAGCTTCACCTTGCTCGACGGCTCCTCCCCGGCGCGGACCGCCATGTTGTAGGCGATGTTGCCGCCGGCGCTGTCGCCGCTAATCGAGACTTTGTTGAAGTCAACGTAGTCGCGGAGCCACGGCTCGGTGCCGTTGCCGCCGGGGCCGTGGGAGAACACCCACTCGAGAGCGTGCCACGTGTCGTCGTAGGCGGCCGGGAGAATGGCCTCCGGGGCCAGCCGGTAGTCGATCGAAACCCCGACGGCGTTGGCCTCCTTCACGACGGAGTTGACGTAGCTGTGGTAGGTGTGGGAGAACGGCGACTCTGACACGAACGCGCCGCCGTGGGCATAGAAGAAGAGCGGGAGCTTGCTCCCGGGCTTCGCGTTCGGCGGCAAGAATATCCTCGCTGTGACTTTGTTCTCCGGGTGGATCACGACGTCCTTCGACTCGACTCCGGTCACCGGATCCGTCGACGGTGGGAGGAACACGACCTGGCTCGGCCGCTCGAAGCTTCCATCCTTGTACGTCACGATGAACGGCGCCACGTTGTGTAGTACTTCTTTCGCCGCTGAAAAATATATATATTAACCGGTAAGGGCTCTGGTTACTCAGCTTTTTTAGATGGATTGATTTTTTTATTTGTGATATTAAGAATTGTGTCAAAAATATAAAATATATTATTTTAAATTGAATATTTTTGTCTTGAGTATTTAAAGTTCTTTTTTAACTTTTAAATTTAAAAAAAAAAATTGTTATTTATTACTTTCTCCGTCTCAATAGAAATATTTGGGATGAGCACAGAAATAAAAGAATAATAGTATTATATTAACAGTGGTTGTAAAGTGTTTCTAAAAAACCAAAATACTCCTACTTCATGTAATTATTGTGAAAAAATTATAAAAATATGGGAAATTAGTTACCAAAAATTGAAATAAAACTTTTTTTTTTTTACGAACGAAAATGACAAAATGCGACTATTGTTATGAAAAAAAGAAAAAGTGAATATTATTTTTTAGAATCACAGTTGAAAAATAGTATTGAGAGGACAATTTGCGACTGAAATAGACAAATCCTTTTGGTCAAATGTACTTTTATTAATTACAGTGAGACATATTCTTCGTTAAATTTTAACGCCGACCTGCTTCCTGCGTCGTGATCGCGAAAGGCCGCATGACGGGGGAGCTGCGCCGGGAAAGCGGTGCAGCGGTCGCCGGAAACCGCCCCTTGATTGTTTTCGGCGGCAGGAACGTCGCCGCCATCGCCTTGACGTGATGGGATGAGCTGAGGGCGGCGGCGCCGGTGGCCGGCGGCGAGAGTGTCGACAGATTTGCAGCCATGGCGGAGATAGCTTAATTTGAGAGTAGGTATTGTAGATTGGTGTGTAGTAAGTTGTAGCCCCTCTTTATATAGAAATATTATTCGGGCAAGTGGTTTTCTTGTATTTCCAATTTTGCCCATATGATGATGTGGTTATGATTGATTTGGGTTTCAAATTCACATCGTTACTGGTTCTTCTTTATCGTTTTTAATAAAAATATATTTAATTCATCGACTTTATAAGGGTGTGTTCGTTTGATGGATTTGGATAAAATTCCACTATTCATTCAAAATTTTCCCCCCAAAAATATCAAATCAAACACTTATTTTTCATTTTTTATATTATACTAAAAATCAATTTTACATTCAAAACATCACATCATCACTTATTTATATCACATCATACAACTATTCAAATTCAAAATTTTTACTATTCAAATCTCAATTCAAAATCCAAACCTCCAAACAAACACACCCTAAATGTATTTTTATTTTATTTTTATGAGATTTAATAATACTTTTTTCGTTTGTCGTCTCATTTATCTTTTGTGTAATTGTAATTATATTAAAAATATTTTTATATTTATATAATATTTTGTGCAAATGTCTTTCTATTAATATTATAAAATACTAATTGAAGTATTTTTGTAATTCTTTATTAATTTGTATTATATTTTGATATAAATAGTATTCAAATATCAACAAGCAAAAAATAAATAAGACTTTTAGAGCCGGACGGATATAGGATTACTCTCTCCGCTCCAGTTACTTTGTTTCATTTAGCTTAGGTACGGAGTTTTAGGTATTGTATGATTAGTAAGTAATTAAGAAATGTATCAGTGAAAATAATTATGATTTAATCAAAGTAATTATAGATTAAAATTAATATTACTAAATAATTTAATTAAAATTAAAAATATATATTATGGATTTTAAAATGTTATTAAAGTGTATAATTATATTTTCAAAAAAATAAATGAAAAATTATGTGGGACGGACGAAAATAGAAATAGTAGACAAATTAAGTGGAATTGAGGGAATATATTTTAATGATAGTTGTTGGTAGTTTTGTATTTAAAAAGCTATTTTGTTGGTAGTCGGTAAAAAGTACGAATAAAAGACTTTTTTGCTCTTGTGAGTGTATTAGTGTAAAAAGTAGTGTAATTGTGTAATAAAAAAAAATAGGGGTAGTTTTATGGTGATATGGTTATTTATAGAAACAAGACTATTGTTTTGGGACGGACAAAAATGATAAACAAGACTATTGTATTGGGACGGAGAGAGTAGCTTTATTTGCACACGGAGACTAAAAAATAATAATATTTCGATATAAAAATGAGATACGTATAAATAAATATTTGATAAGAAAAATAGTGAAACGAATAGAAAAAATAATTGTAATAAATTACTTATTATTTGTTAAAATAAATATAATATTGTAAGTAAATAAAATTATTTATCAACAGAAAAAAAAAAATAGTAATATAATTTTAAAAAACCAGAAAAAAAATTAAAATTCAAAAATTAAACTAAAATCCAAACCAAATAATTTATAAGTTTACGTTGGAATTAGTTAGTATGTTGATTAGCACCGATCATCATATAAAATTAGACAGAAACACACCATGTTTGTTTGGAAGTTTGAATTTTGAGCTAAGATTTGAATAGTAAAAATTTTGAATTGAAATATTTGTATAATATAATATAAATATGTGTTGATCCGATGTTTTGAATATAAAATTGATTTTTAGTATAATATAGAAACTGAAAAATAGGTGTTTGATTTGATATTTTTGGAGAAAAATTTTTTAATGAATAGTGAAAATCCTAACATATTTTCCAAACAAACACACCATTAGTATTTACTAAATTCAATTGTAGTATACATTATATAAATTATTGTTATGTTTTATGAATTTACTAAATTATGATTTGAATAGATTTTTTTTATAAAATATTATAGCATCCAAATTAATATTAAAATAAATATAAATAATAAATAAATAAATAAAACCAATTTTCAAAAAATACAATAAATACCATCCGTCCATTTAAAAGTGCATCAAATCAAGGCATAGTAAAATATATTTTCATGAAATATAATATAAAAAAAAAAAAAAATTAACATTTTTTAAGAGTGATCTAGAAACAAGTCAACGTAGCCAAGATTGAAAGTGTTTGGTAAATAAACACTAAGCAAAAACATGTGCTCCTAAAAAAGAAATATTATTTTTTGAAAGTTTCATTTTACGTTTGAGTAATTATATTGTAAGTTGCGATATACTCTCTTTGTCCCAGATACCTAGTCTGCTACACAGTAGATACGGTATTTTAGAAATGGTGTAATTAGTAGATAATTAAAAATGTATTAGTGAAAATAATTATCCTATACTATAAATAATTATAAATTAAGATTAAAATAACTAATTAGTTTAATTAAAATTAAAAAAAAAAATAAAATTAAAAAATTTAAAATGAGATTAAAGTGTGTAATCATTTTCTAAAAAAGGAAAGTAATATAGTATGTGGAACTGACAGAAACGGCAACGTGGACATGGTATCTGGAACGGAGGAAATAATATAAAAGTAATATAAATTTGATTAAAATAACAAATAAATTTTCCTTGAAAAAAAAATAAAATTATACTCTAATAAAATATACTCCATAGATATTATTTAAAAAACATATGTATATACAATAATTCTAATAAATCAAAATATATATTTAGAATAAATATAAATTAATTTATAAAATAAAATAGGAAAAAATAAACTTGCAGGCCATTTGTTAATATATTTGGTTATTATTTTTTTTTATTGTCGATATAATTTTTTATACATAATAAAAAAAAACATATTCATTAAAAAAAAAAAAAAAAGAAAGAAGTAATAGGAACAAACCCAATATTTTATATGGTATTGAATAACGCTTATTGCATGACAAAGAGATCAAACATTATATATTTTTAAAATATATAATATTATTAATATTTTATATATATGTGTTACAGATAATTGTACCTTTAAAATTTTAATAGTATTTTATATGAAAGTTGACAATATCTTATAATAATATGTAAAATATATTTAAAAGTTAACTTTATAAATATAATTATTGAGAAACAAAATAATTAATTAATTTCTAAAGGATAAAAAGAATCAAATAAATAAATGATTTACACCGAAGGGAATATATTAATATATTTTATGAAAGTAAGTGATATGCTAATTATGGAAGAGCCACGTGATAATATTATTAATATTATTATTATTATAACATCTATGAAAGTTGAATTTTTTTTTCTCTCTATTTAAATACTAGTTGCCAATTAAAAATATATTCACTCGGAGTTTGTAAATGAATTTTTATTTTTATCTAAAGCATTTTTTTAATATATTTTATTCATTTCACCTATTATGTTCATTTTTTATTTTTATTTATCTCATTTATTTCGTCACTTTCATTTTCTCAAAATGAATTATACACTTTAATCTTATTTTAAAATTTTAATTTATATTAATTTTAATTTTAATTTTAATTAAATTAATTAGTTATCTTAATCTTAATCTAAATTATTTTTATATACGATAATTATTTCCACTAATACATCCTTACTTATTTACTAATTATACTCATTTTAAATTCTCATGTTTACAGTAGAAGAGACACCATAACCGGGACGAGGAGCAATATTTACATAGAAAAAAATTACTTTATCTAACATTCAAATTTATATTAAATTTTTATTATCATCAAAAAAAAAAATATTCATGTTTTCTTGTTTAAAAAAAAATAATATCGATTTTCTACTCTTCATTTACTATGAAAAAAAATTATTTCCATTTTATCTATTTTTTTTTAAAATTCATGTTTAGTCAAATAGACATATATTTTGATGACGAAAATAGTAATATGTTTATGTAGAAAGTTATAAAAATTATATAATAAAGACTTTGTAAAATATATATATATAAAAAAAGAAATTGTTGGACCCGAAATATGATTTTGGTGAAAATATTCAAATGAGTGCCTATATTCTAAGGAAGCTCACGCAACGAAAGAGAAAAAATTGCAGCCTTGCGAAAAATTAATAGTAAGAAGTAACGGTCGCGAAAGTTTTAACGGTCATCAAAGACAGTATAATTTGATCAACTTAGAGGTTAGTCGAGTGAAATTAATACATAGCAATTAAAATTTTGGAGTTATACATGATATTCAATGAGTTAGGGGGTTATGTTAGTTATAAGGGAGCTCGACGAGTGATTGATCATTGAAAGAGATCGAGGGTTACAATGTTTTAATGTAGGGAGTTATGCACAATTAATGAATTGGAGTTTCAATCCCAAGTGAGGCTATAAAAGAATAAAATCGAGGATGAAGAAGAGGTTCCCGACTTTTTTTTCCATATTTTATTTCAGTAAAAGAATAAGTTTCAGTATTATACGTTTTTCGCATATTTATCCACTTTCTTTGCTGATTTCCTTTCAATTCTGTTTGTATTTTTTTTTCCCAATTTTAATGATATTTTCTTTTTAAGTTTTTTTCTCGTTTTTTACTATTGACAAATTTTCTGCTAAATTTTATTTCCACATACACAAAATATCGTCTAGAGTACTTTATGGAACCCTTGGCTATTCTCTGACCGGTTTCATCATGTCATTGTAAGACTAAGAATATACGGATTTTTGTATATAATAAATTGGCACGTCCAGTGGGACTACGATCATTTTGTATTTTATTTTTCATGAATGCAACTGCGGAATCGACCATTGCCACTCATCATGCCGCCAAAAGTCAGTACTGTCGGAGTTAGAGGTCTGGATATCATGCCTCATGACACCGATTATGACACCTCGACCTGCAAGCCATGCAAAATCGAGTGTGTCGGGATCGTATACTCGCCCTCACAGGTCAACACGAGCTCTTCCATCAGCGCTTTTGCCCTCACTCACACGAACCTGGGGAGACTTCTTAGGGGTCATCCATCCTCAAATTACTCTAGAGCAAGTTCGCTTAACTTTAGAATTCTTTCAATAGAACTCCTGAAAAAGAATATGCACATTGTTGATGGTCTG